AATTTAATTTAGTCGTTACTATTTACCTTGATGGGATGTTTTCTCAAAGATGTGCAGAAAAACTTGTATATAAAAGGCAAAAAGCGAAGGAGCTATTGGAAAGGAAAGAAAAGGATAAACAAAAAAGAAAAAGGTGTACTGTATTCGCTTTTCATTTTATTCTTGTGAGCTCATTGCAAGCACAACAATTTTTTGTTTCTTTTTCACTTTTTTAAACTCCTATTGATTTTTTGTTGAAATGTAGAGAAAGAGAATCAAGTGATGATGATACCACTGATGATGATTATGATAGTAGTCACAGTACTGGTAAACGAAGGAAAGGTAATCTTTTAAATTTTTTTTTTGCATAGAGTTGATATGAATCTTACACTATGTCATGAAAAGGTTACATCATCAATATCATGAGATATTCTTCTCATAGATGACATATCAAAGCTAAAGCTATGGTTTGAGAAAATACATAAATCCTCACGGTTAACTATGATTATGTAGATAACTTTAGCTGATTTTTTAGAGATGTAACAATCGATTCTCAACTATTCAAGATCAGCCTTTATTAATATTTTTAATACACCTAAGCTATATCTGACATGGTTTTAAATGTCGACCGACATGTTGGATCAGAGGTTGGAGCGACACGGATATGGTCATTTCAAGTCGAATATCATTTTTGAGCCCATGTCGGACATATCGGGGGATATTGCGGACATATCGACCGATTTTCAGCCCTAAAAAAAATTAGAAATCGGCCGATTTTTTTTATTTTTTATTATTTTTTTGAGTTGATAAGTATTGGGGTTTGAGTTTAATACTCAAAGCCTACTTGATTAATTCTTTTTTAACCTTTTGTTCCGCCGCGGACTCCTCTCGTTCGTCTTCGTCTTTACAAATTGAGAATGATTATTTGGATAGTGATTTATTGAGAATGATTATTTGGATAAAATAAAATAAAAAATAAATATAGAAATTGCACTCTTCATTTAAAGAAGAAAAGATACAAATGATAGGTTTCATACTCGGACACTTCACAGAGTAGAGTAGTGTGTAGGAACTGAGCATAGGCTAGAATCACACTCGCATTAAGCACTTCCACTAGGGCTACTAGGCAATCAGACTCTTCAACTACCTCAAAAACTCATATACCTAATAGTAACTGCAATTCACATGTAGGGTTTCTCACAAACACTTTTCTCTCCTCCCTCAAATGAAAAAGTATATTATTTATAGACCTAAAAATAAAATCTTAATCCGAACTAATGGATAACATCAAATCACACATTCTAACATAATAACATATTCATTCCTAACTAAATAATAAACTCAATCCTAATTAAAGATATCAACTAAAAAAATCAATTCCTTAATGAGAAATCCTAATCCAATCACATTAAATCTTTTACCAGGTTCACATCCAAATTTGTTGTGCATCTCTTGCAGTTGAAGAAACTCTACCTTGAGTTTTAAAATTGAATCTCATTGAACTTGGAATTGTTGTATTTCTGATTTTGAATGTGCAATGGTGGATATATTCGGCTTTGATACCAAATGATAGGGGCCAGAAGAATAGTGATAAGGATGATTATTAGGATAAAATAAAATAAAAAACTAATATAGAAATAGCATTTAAAGAAAATGTGTAAATGATGGACTTCACACCAGGGCACTTCATATGACAGCAACTCACATGTCTAGTACTGTCTACAATTAACATACAAGATTTCTCACAAATATTTTTTTCTCATCCCTCAAATGAAAAAATATATTTATTTATAGAACTAAAATAAAATTATAATCCTAACTAATAGATAACATCAAATCACACATCATAACTTAAGAACAAACTCAATCCTAATTAAAAATCACAACTAAAAGAAAAACTAAATCCTTAACAAGAAATCGTAATTCAATCACATTAAATCTTTTCCCAGATTCACATCCAAATCTGTCTTGCATCACTTTGGCTTTGTTTCTAGGTGTATATATCTGTTTAATTTTTTAGTGTTAGTTACACAAGTTAATCACAAGCTTTCATGGTTTTCACTGTAAAGTACAATAAAATCTATAATGTACTACTATAAACTGCCCATGAATTATTTAACTTCTAAAAATTTTGTATGAGCGTTAATGGAATTATTGTTTCCTCCTTCAGGAAAATGAATCATAAACCAGCAATAAACTTTAACTCGTTTCGCACTAAACTACACTGAACATTTAAATTGCTTTAATTTAATAATAGTTAAAGTATATTACGATTATCTAACTTTAAACTAATTTTGTTTGGGCATCCATGGAAAAGGTAAAATTATTAGTTTGTCCTTCACTTTGGAAAAACAAATCACAAAATAACAATAGTATTGTACTACTATCTCAGTAAATTATAATGAAGATCCAAAATTGCTTTAATTTAAGTATGGGTAGACCGGCCTTCGTACGTTGTTATGAAGCAAATCATTTTAATTTAGAATTCGTGGCGGGCTAGATATTTAAAGGATTTTTTGTCTACCGTTTTCTCTTCTTCTCCCTTACTTTTGTTTCTTTCCTCTTTTACTATTTAGCCCCTAAACTGTTCGCACCAAAATTTGACGAACTCATCTTAAGAAATCAATTTGGATACTGAAATAAAATCATCAATTTCAAAGAAAGTTTCTTTCTCTAACCTCGTTTTCTTTTCTAGTGCAAATCCACAATACTAGTTCATCCACTTTCCCAACTGCGATAAATGAACGTCAAATATCAACTAGCAGTATTGGAAAAATTTTCGAGACAGAAAATATTCTAAGAAACAAAATAACATCAAGAAGGTAGTTGTTGATGTAAACAGCCTAAAATTAGCATTTGTTTAATAAAAGCTCTCTTTTCCTCTTGCTCTAAAAAAATCCTAATGTAATTGGGTTTGTTTCGATGATTTTGGACTATAAAATGGACTAGCAAATAACCCAGCTGGACATGGGGGACAGAGAAAACTTCACACATAGCAAGCAAGAACTCTTGAAAATGAGCGAAAACTTAATTGAAATTACATATTCCTTTAAAAGATTATTGGATATAATATTGATCGATTATTCCAATTGTATCTAAGTTGAGTGTGACACAGGCTAAGGATCCATTGATCTTGACATGAAAACATCTGAAAAAATATGAAAGCTTGTACATAACATGGTAGTTTATGTATGGCATATGCTAGATAAAAATCTTGGCTTTCGGTAAACCAATCACGCTAGAGAAAATAAGGGGTCGACCAAAGTCCATTGCAATCTGATCCCAGATATCCTAAACACAAAAGGGTTAAATATCTTGCGTCGAGCATGAAAAGCTTGGAGATATGATGATTGGGAAGGAATAAGAAGTTTGACTCTTGAGACTATCACATGGCTGATAAATTTAGTTGATTTGTGTGCTTCAGTATTGCAGTTGTAGTTATGACCATTTTTATCACTAAATGCACATGTTCTGTTGACGCATCAAACAAAGTTATAAGATGTAGGAGCAAAGTTATAAGATGCAGGAGCTCAGGATAAAATGTTTTAAGATTTATGTGCAGACTTACATTGATGCACATATAAATGTTTCATTCTACAAGAAAAACAGAAGCAATATGCTGAAGATTTGACTTGACGTAAAAGTGTTTGTGCAGAGAAACATTTTGGATTGTTATATCATTGCATTTGAGAAAATTTTGATAGAATTTTGTGTTGCTAATTGTACAGGATAATTCATGGAATAATTGGGTAGCTTTAGAACATTTAGAGATATCTTCTTATAGTATACAATAAAACCCTCAATTAATAACATGAGCTTCATTTAACCTTGTGCGGTTTCTAATACTCTCAAAGTTGCTGTAAAAGTTAAGATCTAAAAATGACCCTTTCTATGACTATAATATATGATAGAACATTAAGTCTATAAAAGCAAATGCATAACTACATTATTTTAAATAATCATGGGAGATGAAGACTTACAATCAGATTAGTTAGATTGTGAAATTGGTGGTAGATGGGTCATGCATCAGTTGAAGTTAACTGGGAAAAAAGAGAACTCTATGCTTAGTTTGATAACTATAACAAGGGGAACATATAGTAAAAACAATGTTGTATAAATATAGGTATGGGTGCGGGTAAGGCCGTAAGGGTACGAGTACGAGACACAACAAACTTGAAAAAAGTAGGGTACGGGGACACGGCTAAATATAAAAATTATATAGGAGATATTTCATATTTATAACCTTAGTAGTATAAAAAATTATATTTTTTTACAATGTTTTTTCATTCATAGAGTTTCAGCCTAATTTCCAAACACCCTAGAAGGGTCTTCAGTGTCTTCCCATCCATAAGAAAGTCATAATTCAAGAAATCAAAGCATCTTCCCTCTCTTCCGCTAAAAGACAATTAGTCAAATTCTTAAGACTTCGAATTGCCTCTAGTTCCCATGTGCTTGGTCACATGGGAGGATGACACATTAGCATTGAAAGGATTAAAAAAACCAACAGCTCAACATAAGGTCACCATGTGATCCCCACTCTAAAAAAAGATAAAAAAACTCTCTCAAACACACAACAGCCCAAACAACCCCTTTATTTCATCGTCTTCTTCCCACCATTCATCCCTCTTCACTTTCCCTTGAACCCAAACTTTTCATGGCCATGTCTTAACCGTTTGGGTATGCAACCGTACCCGAAACATGTCGGACACAGGTACGGAGCCCTAGAAGCCATGTCGGGATATCCTAGAATAGAAGTAATTAGGAAATAACAATGTTATCATTTGAACTAAACCAAACTTAAGAAGTCTTACGGTTAGAAATTTTACACTATGGAAATACAAGTTGATATGATATCTTGAAAAGAAAAATTGCCTGGAATTCCGTGATTTACTTTTGGAAGACACCCACCTTGCGACCTCCGTTTCTTTTTCTCCTCTTCGGATTTCCAAGCCTATCTTATGATATCTCTTTTGATCTCTACCATCCACCAGCCTTGTTTCTTCTCATCAACGTTTCAATCAAGGAAAGTGCAATCTTCAAGTACAAGCTCATTCCAACCACTATTACACCCATCTCTCCCAATCACCAAAAAAAAGCCAACCCACATCACACCCTCAATGGAGTATGAATTGATGTCACACATGTTGTACTTTACCTTTCACATTCAGCCCTTGCAATATTTTATCCTCACCCTAACTCAACAATGTTTACTCATAGGAGGAAGAAAACAAAAAACTAATGAACAGTGGATGTCAACTTTTAATGTCAAAGAATGATGTAGGATAGACACGAGAAATTAAAAATAGTTAAACACCCACGTACAGCTGTTAAACAAGTTATATTGAGAAAGAAATCTTAGAATTTGATGTCGACTTGAGTTTGCCATTGACACGCTTGGCAACATAGGCCTTTATGGTTTAATGGTGTCATCCAAGGAATCACGACTAGTTGAATATTGCTGTAAGATGTTCTTTTGCAATGAAAGGTGTTTAGGATGATGAAAATTTTTATTAGAATTTGAGGATTGATAGCCTTTTTTTGTTACTTTTTTAGAGAATGTTGGGTTTCTTATTCTTTCTCAGATCATACAGACCTTAACGATTTTTTCCTCTCTGTGGAAGATACTAAGGATTGTAGAAGTGTGTGAGTATGGAAAAACTTGAGATTATATACAGATTAGGGAAGACCGGGATCACAAAAATATATGATATATTAAGGATTTTGTTGTCCAAAAAAGGTAGGTCCTAGAGGGTATTTCAAGAAAAAGCATGAAAAACTTGATGTGGTTTATTTTATTTGTAAATACATGGTAGTTTATTGTGATAGTTGTGAGTGTTTGACGGTACTTTGCAAATTCTTGTTAGGAAATTTGCCAAAGGCAGAATTTGAATTTTTGGCCTGTTGATACATTAGTGGAGTTTTTGGGTATACTTGTAAAGATTCTTCTATTAGCCTGTAGATACATTTAAGAAGTTTTTTGAATTATAATGGAGATTTTCTGATTTAGATGACACAACTTGTGAATCATCATTGAAGTCTATAGCCCATCAACAAGGTCTTGATTTTGATCATTGGTTCCGTGAAATTCTAGTGGGATATGTTCCCAGCTACTGCAGAAAAAAGTTTAATGGAATTGCTAGTAGATACATTCAAACCATTAATCATGTCAATCGCAGTTTTTCCCAGTTTAAAGTTATTGGGCATGTTAAATAGGGTTAATTTGGCATCTGAGGCAACACCAATTGAATGCAAAGTGAGCAATTTTAGAGAGAGATTGCGTCAAAAGGATCTTGGGAGTATATATTTAAACAAGTCTTATTCTTTAATTTATGTTGTATTGTCTATAGTAGTGACAAATTATCCAAAGGAAAATTGTGGAGAGTACTGTTGTAAATAGCGGTACATAGCGCCGTTATAGCGGTTTTCATAGCATTAGCGCTGATTACCGCTATGCTATTAATTAGCGAAAGCGGTAACAAATAGTAGCCAAAATCTCTATTTGCTGGTGATTGCGCGCAATAGTGGGTTTTAACAGTTAAAAGCGTTGAATAGCACTTTTGACTGCTAAAACCCACTTTTATTTTGTGGATAGCTTTATATTCTACCCGACCCATACCCAAAGCCGAACTGTTTTGTCATTAAAACCTATCAGACCCCTCTCTCTCTCTCTCTCGTCTTTGATTAGCTGCCACAAAAGAGAAAAAATACTAGCCGCCGATTCTCTCCCTTTCTCTCTTCGGTGCTTCCCATATCTAGTGCTTCCGCCACCACCTCCACCATCTCTAGTGCTTTTTTATTCTTTATAGTACTTCGTTAATATTATGCAATTGTTACACATCTATTTCATACTTAGGATCTCTATAAATCATCAAATATGCATTTGTAGGTTTTTTAGATTTTTCTATAGGTTTTTCATATTTTAGAATATTTAAATTTGATCGTTATTTGGCTATGCGCTATTTGCTGTTATTTTGTCGCTATAGGCGCAAATAGCCTTGGCGATACCTCACCGCTACGCGACGCTATCTGCTATCAATAACCTTGGTGGAGAGTAGAAGCAAAATTTGTGGAAAGCAGAAAAAAATAAGTGGCAAGGCAAATGTTGAGTCTCAGGGGCTTTGGTGGCAAAATATGCCGAGGCTTTTTAAAGAATTGGAAAGTAATGCAGTCTAGGAAAAAGTAAACAATAGTGCATAGCTAATAATGTAAATAAGAGTTTCCATTAATATATCAATTGCAACGGCATAGATTAATAGAAGAAGATAATACTCATGTTATGATTCTTCTTTAAATCTTGAAGCAGATCTGAAGTGCACAGATGCAGAGGGGCTAAAGGGGCACGTTAAATGACTTTTAAAACAATGATGCCAAGTTTACTTCCTTCACTTGGAGCTTGGTTGGGATTTAAGATGGGTTTCCTTGCAATTGGATAATAAGGAATAATTGGATTGTTGGACGTTAATAGATTGACCTTTTATTTTTAAAATGCTCAGGAGTAAGAGATTGAGGTGTCCTTTCATCCTTAATGATCTTCCATTATAGTACATTTAGATCCAAATTTGAATCCTGTTATAATATGTGCTGGATATTTGAGAATGCCCAGGCTTTAAATGTATTTGAGTTTTGGTTCCATGTTTTCCTTTCTTTTATCACCATCTTGCCTTCTACTTCGTAGAAAATTAACCTTTTGATTTTTGTGTGGATAGGCCGGAAGACTTCCTCGTCAGCAAGTGGTGCAAAGAATGATGATGATGAAAATTTCGAGGAGTATCTGGAGGGCATGTTTCCATGATAACTCTAATGTATTTGGTTAATAACATCTAACTACAGCAATCACCTACGCAGTTCTTTGCTTCTTGTGCAGCTGTATATAATACCTGAAACAAAAGATCTAAAGCTGGGCGTTTCTCTGTTTGTGGTTATATAACATGTAAGAGGTGGATGATGCTCTATTTCATCACATGCTACCACTTTGATATTGTTCATTTAAGTTAAGCTACTTATTGGTTGCATAATCTAGTGTATTTGCTAAATCATATTTCATTTCGGTCGGACTTGATTTCTTTCCTTACCTCATACAATTTAGAAACTCCTGTACAGTGAGTTGATAAGCTACACAACCATTTCATCGACGAATTTGGAAATTGCTGTACAGTGAAGCAGTCGAACCTAACCGTGCATGTTGCGTATATTGACTGGGTAGATTATTATTACTTCATTGAGGAATGAACACCTTAGCTTTTGTTCCCTTTCTCATTTTTAAATTCAACTTTTGAATACTATAGTAGCTCTGAAAGATTGTTTTAAGTTTAGCTTGAGCAGTCTTTGGGTTGTTCTAGCTTGTTGCTGTTATCATTACACCCTCCATTATTTTTGTCTGCTGCCTTCAGCTTATCCAGTTGCTAGAATTTCTGGTGCATGTTTGAATAGTCTTTTCAAGTTGGCACTGTTTGTTTTCCCTCCCAGACTCTTGCTATCCTCCTTTCAGCTTGATAAAATGCCATGTGTACATCTGTTATTGGCAGAAAAATCCCTAGGGATAAGATACCCTTAGCGGCATTCTCCCAACCTCACCCATCATTGGCGTCTCACTTTTTAGTCCCACATTGGTTCATATCGCTCACACCGAACCGCAATCAAACAACTCCGAAAAAAAGATGGCATCAGTCAGTATGGCCTCTTCCTTTGTTGGCACTGCAGCTGCTGGAAACAGCCGGAGCTCTGTCGTGGCCAAGGCCGCTGCTGGCAGCCGGAGGCTGCATGCTGCTGCTGCAAATTTTTGATGCAAAGGAGAGAAGGCGGAGGAACAGCCGGATGATGCAGCCGTGGCTTGCCAGTGCAGCGCGGCTGCCGCTGACAGCTGTGCGTGGGGTCTGGGCCGGGAATGGTGGCTTTTGCGGAGGAGGATGAGCCGAAGCGAGGCAGCGTGGAGGCAAGGAAGAAGTACTCTCCTATATGTGTCACCATGCCGACTGCTCGCGTTTGCCACAAGATAGCGTGAGGGAGTTAAAATTGATGCTTTTGTTGTTGTATCGTGTCTTTTGGGTTCATTTAAGCGGGCATATGGTTATGTAAAATTTGGTTGGAAATGAAATTGGCTTGTCAATAATTGCTTGCTTGCTTGCTTCGGATTGTTGATGCCACTCATTTCTCGATTATTATCTTATTTGGAAATGGCTATTATTCATACATTTATAGCTTTGATCGTATAGCTATATATTGATCTTTAACCTCTTATTTTGAGCCGTGATCTTATTATATATTATATATATATACTATATTATATATTACACCTATATATATATATATATATATACTATATATATATAGGGTATGACTTGGTACAAAGCAGCAAAAGTTGGTGCTGGTAGGATGTGTCAGCATCCGCCCCTTCCATCATTCAATATGCGGACGCACACACTGTCCACCCATGGGTAGTGAGTGGACCTGAGGATGTCGACAGCCATCACCTTTACCCACCACCAAACCACCAAAATTTGTGCGTTAGTAATAAGATACGAACTTTCTCATCATATATATATATAAATATACCTATATCATTATATATATCCATATATATATATAATATATATATATATATATATAATATATATATAATATATGATATATATAAGAGAGAGAGAGAGAGAGAGAGAGAGAGAAGAGAGAGAGAGGAGAGAAATTAGTGTAGTTTGTAGCCCAAGCTACAAAAGTTGTGCTGGTAGTGAAAGTGTCCTATTCCATCCACTCATGTTTAATTCTGAACCACTCCAACCCAATATGAATCCGTCGGGCCTTCGATTTCAATGAGTGGAGACAGATATTGCCCAACTCACTACAAGCCATCAAATTGTGCTTGGTACCCAGGCAATCCCATTTCTCTCCTCTCTCTCTCTCTCTCTCTCTCATCTCTATATATTAATATAATATTATATACTTATATATATATCATATATATATATAGATAATTGGGAAATGTTTTCCTAAGGTGACACCTTAGATTCCCACCTAAGGAAGCGGTCTAAAATCACATCATTCCCTTTTTTTTACGATCCACTCCATTGAACTTGATCTACACGTTCTTAAACCCAAACACACTAATTTTGGGATGAACCCGTTGTGTTTTGATCCTTCATCCACTAACCGTAATTTTAACGGTTTCAAATGAATAGAACCTTTTGCACGGCTCAACGAATAGTCAAAACACGACGGGTTCACCCTAAAATTGTTGTGTTTGGGTTTAAGAATGTGTAGATCAAGTTCAACAGAGCGAATCGCAAAAAAATTAGGGAATGATGTGATTTTAAGCCGCTTCCTTAGGTGGGAATTTAAGGTGTCACATTAGGAAAACATTACCATATATATATATATATATATATATATATATATGAGAAATATGGGTATGCTTGGTACCAAGCACAAATTTTGTGCTTGGTAGTGATATGTCACATCCTCATCCACTCACTACCCATGTGAATTTGTTCCCACATTTGAATGAGTGGAGAGAGATTTGACACCTCACTACCAAGCACAACCTTTTGTGCTTGGTACCAAGCATACCCATATTTCTCATATTAGAAATATGGGCATGCTTGGTACCAAGAACAAATTTTGTGCTTGGTAGTGATGTGTCACATCCTCATCCACTCATTACCCATGTGAATTTGTTCCCATATTTGAATGAGTGGAGGGGGATTTGACACCTCACTACCAAACACAACTTTTTGTGCTTGGTACCAAGCATACCCATATTTCTCTCTCTCTCTCTCTCTCTCTCTCTATATATATATATATATATATATATTATATATATATAATATATATATATATATATTAGATATATATATATGTATATATATATGGAGAAAACTGGCATGAGGTTGCAGCGTAGCGGGAAATGTGCGCTGACAGGGGGTGATTGAAAAAAACCCCACCTTTGTTATCTCTGTCGTTCCAGCTGTTCCCAATATCTCTCTCTCCAGCTCTCTCTCTTCTCGCCAGGGGGTGATTTGAAAAAAAATGCTCCTCTCCTCCTGCCAGTTCAAGAAGATCTCGGTGACCAAATCCCATTCTCGTGACGCCAAATTTCATTTTTCTTTCCCAAATCTCTCTCTCCAGGCTCTCTCTCCCAGTATCTCAATCCCAGATCTGATTTAAGATGCTCCTCTCTCTCCCCAGTTCCTCTCTCCGACGCTCGAGCACCTCCCGCCATCCTTTGCGGCTTGCCGCGACCACTGCGCACCGCCCTGAGCTCCTCTACTCCGCCAGTTCCTCCGGCCGCCGCGATCACCTCCGGCCCTCCTTGCCGGCCGCCGCGACCACCGCCTGAGCTCCTCTCTCCGCCGAGCCTGCAGCCGACGCGATCACCTCCGCCTCTCGTAAGTCTATTTTAAACCCTATTGGTCATGTAGAAAGTGTAGTTAGCTTGAGATTTCAGTATTTAATAAAAAGAGGAACTGGTTTCTATTTGTAAAAATTTGTTTGCTTGGTCTTTAATAAAAAGATCGTAGGTTTCTATTTGTTCAATTGCTTAGTCTTCAATTTGTTTGCTTGTTCATATAGAAAGTCTTGTATCTTTTGGGTTTACATACTGGGGATGCTAGATGTGTCTTTCTTGTTGTTGTTTTAATGTAGATTAGAGCAACTTTGCCTATGACGTGTTGAAGGTTTCAAACACAATAGTAAAGTTTATGAGATTTGATGGAATTAATACTTTTAAGTATAAAATAAGTCTTGGTTAAAGGAGGAAGAGACTATTGACAACCAGGGACACTATAGCTTGTGTATTTAAGCGGTTTGTTGTTTTCAACTTTCGTTATGTATTTAACTATTGTTATTCACCGTATCCCAGTTTTATATTCAAAACTGTCTGATCTTATGTTACTCTGGGTCTATGTTTATCAAATGATTTACTGGCAATAGAAGATAGTGATAGGTTCTTTGATTGCCAATTTTTGCTAATTTAGCATATTTTTACCTCCAAAATGATTATATTACAGTCATAGGTATGAAAAAAAATGAAATGAGAATAAAAACTGATAAGCACCGTTTTCATGACTTGAGCTAAATTAGAGGTTTTAATAACCAGCTGAAAACAAAAAAAAAGGAAATGACAAAAATACTAAGTTTGTTTTTCTTGAATTTATTTTTTTCTTTAGGAGTGTGGAATGGAGGAATGGGAGAATCAAGTGTTATTGGAATTGAAACTGCGGCCAATACTGTAAATGCTCCTAAACCACTACTAGGAATGAAGTTTAATAGTCATGAAGAAGCTTATAACTATTATAACTCTTATGCATTGTTGATGGGTTTTGGAATAAGGAAGAGCAGTGTGAATTACTCTCGCAAGACTAGAGAAGTGGTAGACAAAAAGTTTGTTTGTGATAAGGAGGGCTATAAACCTAATAGTGGCAAGATAGAGATCCCTCTTCAGCGAGAGACCCGAGTGGGATGTAAGGCAATGATGCGAGTTAAATTATTGGAGGACAAATCGTGGGAGGTCACGGGGTTTGTTGAAGAACATACAAATCATGTGTTGAGTAGTCCAGACAAAGCAAAAATGCACAGATCACATCAACAATTTCATAAAACTCAAAGATGTAAAGAGAAGAAGGTATGCCTCCTTCCACTATTTCTCGCGTTATCAATGCAACCAATGGAAGAGACGGTGAATTTGTGACATCACAACAGTGCATTGATCATATCAGAACCCAAAGAGTCAACAATATTGGTCATGAATGCATATCTATCATTCGACATTTTCAGAGTATGACAGCGAATGATCCAGAATTTTATTTTGCAATAGAAGTAGACAGTAGTGGACAAAGGAGGAGTGTATTCTGGGCCGACGGAAGATCAAGAGCATCTTATTTGCAATTCAGTGATGTTATTGCGTTTGGTGTGACATACAGAACTAATAAGTTCGGTCTTTCATTTGCTCCATTTACTGGTGTAAATCACCATAGGCAGTCCACTTTACTTGGTTGTGCATTATTAGCCGATGAACAGGAAGATACCTTTGTTCGGTTATTTGAAGAATGGCTGAAATGCATGCACGGCATTGAACCAGGTGCTATTATAACAGATCAGGATAGAGCAATGTGTAATGCTATTCACTCAGTGTTTCCAACGAAAAGACATCGTTATTGCTATTGGCACATGCAAAAGCATATTATTGATCATTTGCCTACTTTGGTATCTCGTTATGGTGAACAGTTTCAAAGGTATTGGGGCTTGTGGTGCAATAGTTCTTCAATTGAACAATGTGAAGGATATTGGGTTGAGATGAAAGAGAAGTTTGATATAAATGAAGAAGGGGAGGGATGGTTGCAAATAGTTTACAAATGCAGAGAACACTAGGTGCCGTGTTATCTGAAGGATACTTTTTTTGCTGGAATGAGATCGAGCCAAAGGAGTGAAAGTATTAATGCATTTTTTGATGGGTATGTTAACTCACAGACTCAGTTACACGAGTTTGTGACACAATATGAAAAAGCAGTAACTCATCGTCGCTTAAGTGAAGCCCATGAAGATTTTAAGAGTCTGAACACAAAGCCGGTTATGCTCCTTGGACATCCAATTGAGATCCAAGCTGGAGAAATGTATACACGCAATATGTTTGATGTGTTCCATACTGAATTCAAAGGATTTGGTACAGAGTTCTGTGAAGAATTGAGAAAAGATGGGGACATTGTTGAATACAAGGTCTGTAAGTTTACAGATAGAGGAAAATGGGAGGTGGTTACTTATGAACAATCCAGTCAGATCCAGTTCTGTTGCACTTGTGCTTTGTTTGAAACTAATGGTGTTGTATGTAGACATATATTATCGCTAATGATGGCTAGGCAAATGGATTCATTACCCGACCACTACATCCTACACCGTTGGACCATACATGCAAGGCATCGTAACATTGGGGTTGGCAATATTGTATTTGGAAGAAACATCACCAGCTGTGAAGAGAAGATTAATTTATTAAAATCTTGGGCTTTAAGAGCAAAATTCAATAATGTGCTCGAGCTTGCATTTGATTCAGAAGAGAAGCTGCAACAACTTGATGATGTGCTAACAAATTTCATGGAATCACTTGAAGAAGAAGTTGGAGAAACTCAAGATCAAATTATGGATATTCCTCAACCTTCCGCACCTATTTCACATACAATAGAGAACATTCCTTAGATAACAGTTCGTGATCCTGATAGACCTGCAAGGACTAAAGGTCGTCCACGCAATGCTACTAGAATCCAGTCAGGTTTAGAACAGGCATAAGAAAAGAAAGAAAGGAAGAAACGCATATGTAGCAGATGTGGTGAACTCAGGCATTATAGAACTAGTTGTAAAGTTAACTTGCAAAGGTACCATTTTCGTTGATATTCAGTTTTAACCCTATATAAGTTTATGAAACTTGATAGCACAAAGTCATATCTCATGATTAATTTGTCATATAATTTGCAGGTAAACATATGCACGGGTGGTGGATGTATTGGTTTGTTCAAAAAGTCATATCTCATGATTAATGTACGTATGATTGCTTACATTTTTGTGTATCAATCTTTAACAATGCTTTATTTACTCTGTTTTTAACTTTTAACAAAAAATTTATTTGCTTGTACATGTTGCTCAAGTTCATCCACAACTGTTGCTGATTGTCTTGTAGCTGCTGATGTATTACTACATTTTATGTATTAAGACTGATTGTGTTAAGACTGATTGTGCCTTGTAGCTACTGATGTGTTAAGATATATAATAAACTTTAACTATATTTCCATTTTTCAAAGGTACAACTCAGTTTGTATTGCTCTTATTACAGGGAAAATGAAAAAGAATTCACAACTCAACATTTCCATCCACAGCAGGCATATGCCAGGAGCAACAACAGCTTTCCTACATAAATCAAACTTACCTATAAGTCAAATCATTACAAAATATAGTTAAATATGATGCTCCAGACTATAAACTGCAGAAAGAGGTTTAAAAAAAGTGTCCTAATCAACAGACAACTATACAACCAATATTGCACGCGCGCATATGAGGAGTTGCTTTCGTGCTATATGGTCTATCATCTCCAACAACAAACAGGAGAGCGATAATATCTGCAACTTTCAGCTTTCTAATCACTTCATGATTAAGAAGCAAGCAGTTATATCCAATTATACAAGTGCTGTGGAGTTCATGCAGGAGAGGCATTGAGCAATGAAACTGGCTACTACTGAGGAAATAGGTGCCAGTGATGATCTGGTGACAGGTTTTCCTTGATTTTCTCTAGCCTCCTGAGAATCTCAATAAAAGAAGGCCTCTGGTGCATATCTTGAGACCAACATTGGTCCGTCAACCTAAGAGAGATCAGCAACAAACAAGGCTATGCAATTAAATACACAAGCGCGACTGTTTAGGTTAAGTTTTTCTTGACTAAGACTGAAATGGAACCAGATGCACACATATTAAACGAGAAAGAGAAACAACAGTCACAAGACATGCTTTTTTCAGCAGAAAGGTATTAAGAAAGCATGACATAGCTATTGATCTGATACAAACAATATGACATAAGTTCTCACAATCACATAAGTTCTCACAAGATACATAAGTTTCACAATCTCACAATCACATAAGTTACTCGATACATAAGTTCTCACAATCACATATTTTTTGCAAGAGAGGAAAAAAATAAATACGACAATGATACATATTACAAACACTAATATTATAAACACTGAACCTAATGCAAAAGCATAGATGGGGGAAATAGTAGTTCTTGAGCTCGATGCAGAATCAGGTGTCGGGACATAAAAAGATATTTGGACATGCCCTGTACTAGATGCTGAATCACAAGCGATGCTGTGCTTATCCCATTCAACCAAAGCCTCTTCGTACGTTGCATACCCTTTATATGCGGCATTTGGGAATTTATCAACTTGCATTTTACAATCCTCCCAATTATTAAAAATTCCACACCGTCGACCTCTCTTCACAATGTAAAAACTCTTTCTTGCCATGGACCCACCTAAAAAATTATGGTTTGAAGCAAAATCACAGTAAAAACTCTCTTAATTTCTTTGTGGAATTAAGAGAAATTATAAGTGCAGTAGCATATACTTTGCAAACATGCAGTAGCATATACTTTGCAAACATGCAGTAGCATATACTTTGCAAACATGCAGTAGCATATACTTTGCAAATTATAAGAGAAATTATGGTTCTGGATTGATTGGATTATAGATGTAATTGTGTTTTTTGTCATATAATTTGCAAACATGCAGTAGCATATACTTTATGAATTTTCTTTAATTAAACTTGGTAAAATTAAAGCACAATACTGGTAAGCCCAAAAGTTCCTTGAATAAGAAGTTTGTAACATGTTTTAATTAAACCTGACTTCATATCAGCTACGCTGATGGAACATTCAAAAGTTCCTTGAATAAGAAGTTTGTAACATGTTTTATTTCTCTATAATGCCAACTTTTGTTCTCTGTAATGCAATTAACCATCTCATGTCCGTCTCACTGTCTAGATCCAGTTCTATATTTTACCAAAATTACCATCGAGATTATATAAACATGCTGTTTTTAAGAGTGTGCTGTTTAATATGTTTTATTTCCCCTACGCTGGCAGCTCATGGCCAGTTTTCTCATATGAATAACATATATATATGAGAGAAATGGAGAACCTTGGTACCAAGTTGCTTAAAGCAACTTGGTAGTGATGTGGCCAAATCTTGCCCCTACATCACACCTCGAAGATAGAGCCTCAACCACCCTTCACTAACTCCAATGTAGATGTAGAGACAAAATTAGGTCATATCACTACCAAGTTGCTTAGAGCAACTTGGTACCAAGTTTTTCCATTTCTCTCTCTCTCTCTCTCTCTCTCTCTCTATATATATATAATATGTATATATATAAGAGCAAATGCACAATTCATGCTCGATGTATAAATCTGGAAATTTATGATCAGCGAAGAGATTTTGTATTTTTATCATAGATGTAGTTAGAATTTGGAAAAACGTAAAAGACAAAAGTTATAGGTATCTTCAATATCTTTCCAACAGGTCTTAGACCACCTCATTCCGAGGTCGGACGTGAAAGTTATAGCCAAAATACCAAAGGTTATTTTCCTAGTCAGATTAGGATTCCTGGTTCGGGTCAAACGGGTTTATTTCGGGTTTGCATATATATAAACATGTGTTTTCACAAAAATTAACATCTTTATATTAGAGTTTCAAACCCTAGCAGTCCCTCTTCCTCTCTCTGAATCCCTAGCCCTAAAGTTGAGAATTTTGAGAGCTTTGTGAAGCAAATATCAACACGAGGGCGAGATCATCAACGTGTAGCAAGGGGAAAACGGCTTGGTTGTACTTCTTTTTGGTTTTTGGTTATTTCAGAGGCTTAGAACAACGTCTAAGGTAAGATTATCTTCACCCAAACACTTCCCCATAGTTAAATAACTAGTTAGATGTTTAATATGATGTTGAATATGTGTTTTCGTGCTTGAATCTTAACATGATGTGATAAAATTTAAATTTTTAATGTTAAAACATAAACCAATGCTAGATTAGTAATTTTTTTTCTTGCTGTTTATGATAGTATCATGATCATGATCATTAGGGTTTTTCATAATTTCATTTATATATGAGAAATTTAAGTGATGTACTAAATAAATATTTTTTGCAGAAAACTACAGCAATTGTATCATGTTTAACTGAGATTTTGAATTAGAAAATAAACTCTAAATTTAACCAAACCAGTTTCAAATGAAAGATATATGTATTTAGTTTCTAAAAAAGAAGATAAATCTTAAAAATCATTTGTATAGAGAAAGATATGATCTTTTTACTAACAACATGTCCTGTAGAAAAACGGCTGCACATATATAATGTTTAACTAATGATTTGGGATAACAAATGAACTCCAAACTGAACCAAAATTATTTCATCTGAAAGATGTGTGAATGTAGTTTTCAAAACAGAAAACTTTTACAAATAGTATTCCTAGAGAAAGATATGCTTGTTTTACTAACAGATGTCATGTCTGTTTTTCCTGCTCGTTTTGTGGAGCTGTGTTGCGCCGTTTAGAGGTGCGTTCGCGGAGTTTTGAGCCGCTTGATATTATACGTATAGTCATAAATATGTTATGTTATACATTTAAGAATCCCAATGGGATTATGATAAATTTTGATTTGATCATATTTGAATTAGATATAGTTCATATACATATTGGATGTCGTTGATGAGCACAACTAATTAGTACTATATGGGATAGTGCGTCGATACACCAGATATACACGGTTTATACATGAGGTAACTATCATTGATAAGCATAGCTCAATATTATATGGGATAGTACATCGACATGCCAGAGGTACAA